GCCACGTCCGATCTATGGAGTAAGGTAGGTAGTCAGCCACGCAGGTCGCCAGTGGTACTCCACCAGACTGGGTGTGTGAAGTGTGGCTCGGCCTCAAGTGGGGGCGGTCTGGCCGGTGCGCCTGCACAGTAGAGTACGTATTTGCGACCCCGTCGACCGGCCGAACCCAGAAGCTCGACTTCCACCTGGTGGTTAAATTTCGGGCGGCACATGAGGTAATACCTGACACACCGACCGTCTTCCGTCACGGTGCTGATGCTGAGGTAACCAAACAACACCCTCTATGTAACACATGATTTCGCGTGGCCTAGCGGAAGCGGGTCATCCCTGCTGCTGCCTTCCACACGTTCTGCAGGACGCGCTTTCCCCAATTTTTAGCAACAAGTGTTGCATCACCAACAGGAAGTAGCTGCCTGCCGATGCAGTCCCATGCACAACAACATTCAAGTCTGATGCTGGGACCTGTTCCAGTTCACCTCTCTGCTCTTCCTTTTGCTGCCTTGGCTTTTTCATCCGACTGCAAATTTAGATTTGCCCTGTTTCAATGGATTGCATTTTGACATTTGGTAATATCTTGCTTCACAATGGCCACCAATAACGGCATCTGGCACAAGACATCCATCGAGGTTGCCGAGGAGCAAGGCCGGAAATATCACGCCGTGACAACCACAATTGCTGGGCAGAAACGCCCTCGTGCTGAGTCTGTCCATCCCACTGCGCCGAAACCAACGATCTTGCCTCGTCACACCCCGCTAGTGCAGAGAGCATCAAGTTTACCTCCTGGGCCCCCAAAGCTTGCGGCGAGCCCGATCATCTCATTGAGCCCGGCGGCTACTCAAGGTCCGTCTGAATACACACAGCGAAGAGAGTTCCAGCCCACGCCTTCGTCGTCCTCGGATCCCTTGCTCGCTCTTGCCCATCCGTATTATGGACTTCCCCGTTCCTTGGTCCGGAACTTCTACAGCCTGGGTATCAAAATAATGTACCCATGGCAAAAAGCATGCCTCCGCGGACCGGGGCTTCTTGCCGGCGAAAGAAATCTCGTTTATAGTGCTCCGACCGGAGGTGGAAAGTCCCTCGTGGCCGACGGCAAGTTCGTCCATCATTCTGGCTGACACAGGACTGACTAGACGACAGTTTTGATGCTGAGGAGAGTGCTCGAGGAAAAGAACGCCAAAGTCCTGTTAGTTTTACCCTACGTCGCCCTTGTACAGGAAAAGGTCCGCTGGCTTCGAAACATCGTCCAGGGCGTAATGAAACCAAAAGATGAGATTGACGACGGAAAACGCATCTGGAGGCGGCGAGCAGACGAGGACACGATCAGGGTCATCGGGTTCTTTGGGGGAAGCAAGATTAAGCCAACTTGGTCCGACTTTGACATTGGCGTGTGTACCATAGAGAAGGTGGGAAGTATACGGCCTACGCTTTGGATTCAGCTAACTTTGACCCGACAGGCCAACGCACTTGTCAATACGGCGATAGATGATTGCACCATTAAGCATTTAAAGTCAGTTGTCCTTGACGAACTCCACATGATCGACGATGACCATCGTGGGTATCTGATGGAATTGATGGGCACAAAGTTGCTCACCCTGCCTCAGCCGGTGCAAATCATCGGCATGAGCGCTACCATGTCTGTGGGTGCGATCTTGTTGCACATTTTCAGCCACGGCACATTCTGACACGATATCTTAGAACATCAGTCTCTTGGCTACGTGGCTGGGAGCTCATTCGTATGAAACGCGCTATCGCCCAGTGCCGATCGAAGAACATCTCGTTTACGAGGGCAATATATACCCAGCGGCAACGACAAGTGAGCTGCTGAAGACGGCCAAGAAGCTTAATACAGCCACTCAAAAGACGGGATCGAGAGCCACAAGACGCATAGAGCCTTCCGGTCACAAGGAATTCCAAGATCCCGTACTCAACGCTGTTGTTTCATTGGCTAGCGAGACTGCTAAGGCTGGCTACGGAGCCTTGGTCTTCGCCAGCAGTCGTTACGGCTGTGAAGCAGACGCCCGTTGGATTGCCAAAGTCATGCCTGCTCTAGACGAGCTCGAATCTGGTCTAGTTGAAAAGAGGACTGAACTCATGGCCGAGTTGCGTAGTCTCGGAACAGGTATCGATCCTGTTCTGGAAGAGACGGTACCCATGGGCGTTGCATTTCACCGTAAGTCCAACCACGAACTCTTACAAGCTTAGGAACTAACACAATCATATTCAGATGTCAGTTTGCATTAGATGCCGTGTCATCGTATCAGTAGCTAAATGTTGCAGGCGGGTCTTACCACTGAAGAACGAGACATCATCGCCAATGCATACGATGCTGGGACACTCAAAGTGTGTGTAGCGACATGTAGCTTAGCAGCTGGCATAAACTTGTAAGTTTAGTGGTGTGTCACGATCGTAGGTTGATCTGCTGACAGCTTTGAGGCCGGCACGACGAGTAATTCTTCACAATGCTCGTATGGGCAGAGATTTTGTTGGGCCATCGATGCTGAGACAGATGCGTGGACGGGCCGGTCGCAAGGGAAAAGATGAAGTCGGAGAAACCTACCTGTGCTGCCGAAAGGATGATCTTGAGCAGGTTGTCGACTTGATGCACGCTGAGATACCGCAAATCACAAGCGGGTTGATGACGGACAGAAAGCGAATCCAAAGGTCAGAGATTCGGCATAAATGCGCAGTAGTATTCCATCGTGCTAACAGTACTCAGAGCACTTTTGGAAGTCATCGCTATACGGTTAGCAACAAGCCGAGATGCGCTGGACGAGTACATAACAAAGACTTTGTTAAGCCACTCTGGGCCTCTGGAGTCCCTCCAAGACTGCGTCGAGGTCAGCCTCAAAAATCTGACGAACATGGGCTTTTTGTCCGTGGATGACTGCGAGAACTACCAACCGACAAAACTTGGTAGGGCCATTGTAGCCTCTGCATTGGATCCTGACGATGGTGTCTTCATCCACAAGGAACTAGAAAGGGCGCTTCAAGCATTTGTCATGGATGGAGAGATGCACATCCTTTACACTTTCACACCCGTCCAGGACTCTGGCATCAACATCAACTGGCAAGTTTTCAGGAACGAGATGGAAAATATGGATGAAAGTGGACATAGAGTTCTCGGCTTCCTTGGGCTCAAGCGTACTGTAATCAACCGGCTGTAGGTACCCCTGGCCCCCTTTTCCGATGTCGCTAACCGTGATCAGAGCGCAGGGCAGTGCACTGAAAGAAGCGACTGCCGAGGAGAAAGAGATAGTTCGTGTACACCGTCGGTTTTACATGGCCTTTCAATTACGAGACCTGTGTAACGAGATGCCCATCCATGTTGTGGCGCGAAAGTACGATGTGCCGCGAGGTGCCGTTCAAACCCTATCCCAAACTTGCAATGGGTTCGCGGCCGGAATGATCAAATTCTGCGAATACATGGATTGGGGGTAAGTCGAACTACTTGCCACACGGGTAGTAGATCAATCGCTAATCGCATCGGTCAGCGTGATGTCTGCTGCATTAGATCACTTTTCAGACCGTTTAAGAGCTGGGGCAAAAGCGGACTTGCTGGCCTTGGCAAAGATCACTTTTGTGAAGAGTCGGACAGCGTGAGTTGCGCGGCCGGGTACTGCGTCGGAATATCGTCTAACTTTGTGGAACAGAAGAGTCTTTTGGGAGAACGGTTTTCGCAGCATTGCGGCCATCGCAAATGCTGACCCCAACGAGCTCCTACCAATTCTGATGCAGGTAAGCAGGCGACGGAACTCTAGATTGATAACAAACTCATTGTCTGGCAGGCTCAACCAAGTAAACTGCGCATCAAGGAGCAGGAAAGTATCAAATACGAAGAAAAACTCATGGCCAAGGCCAGGGTCATCTCGGATTCGGCCAACCGACTGTGGCGTAAGTCAAACCGAGAGACATATCGGCGCCGTTGGTGGACTGTGAGTCGGGCTAGCACAGCAGCTGACTATGCTTGCGTACAGGTATTCAAATGCAACAGGAAGTCTATGAGGAAGAATGACCAACATGTCAGAGGTTGTTGGCAACGGTTGGAGCGGCCTACAGCACGCTCTTTACTCGCAGCTTGGTGGCACCGCGGCCGTTGCGAAGCTGGTACAGCGTACCCGGGCAGTTGGCTATGGTGCTCATAGGCTCTTTTTACTACCTCCCGCAATAGATGCGCATGCATGCCGCCGCACATCCGCCAATAATTGGTGACGAAGATGCCCAACCTGCATTGCATCGGATGGGAGCCCCTCCCACCGCATTCGCAGGGCCGGATATTAACGCGAAGTGCGTGTGATAGAGGTCCGCTCCCACCGCTACTCTGGGCCCCCGTGGCTTCTCAGTGGTCTGACTAGCCGCGATTTTGGAACAAAGCCGTAGACCGACAGCAACCAACACGAAAAAAAGGTGCAACGGTGCAAGACAACCAAACGCAACTCAAGTTCATCACATGGCACCCGCAGTACGGTGCTGCATTTGCCTGCGTCCCGTTCCGGAGCTGCGCATAGGTCCAGACAGGCATCCACACCATGACCGACCTGGGTCCTAGACACCCACGGCGACGGAGTGCATGGGAAGCAGACCGAGGTGGGTGGCATTCCTGGGAATGTTCGCTAGAGAAATAGAGCCACAACCGATCGACCTGGGAATGGCAAACCCAGCGCAAATCCTGGGTGACACCTGACATGCAATCGATTCTTCTATGCGACAACACAACTGTTCATGCGCGAGTTACACAGCAGGGGAGACGGGAAAAGCAAAGAATCTGACTCTGTCCCGAAAGGGTTTTGTCCGGCGGACCTCTAGTGACCGAGGTGCGCCTCGCCATAGGTAGTTGGCGGTCGCGCCCAGAAGGCTCGCGACCAACAAAGGTCTGACAGCCACCGCCCACCGAGCTACCCACCCTCATCCGTCTTGTTCGACTTTTGCATATAGGTGTGGGTGTGGCTGCCTGACCTCGGTCTGATACAAGTCTAAGCTATATGAAGCGGTTGTTCCTTGTCTCCGAAATGATCTCTCATGTTCCTCTCTCTCCTTCTTGTTTTTGTTTTCTCGTGGTTCTTTGACTCGACTTGTTCATTTTCTCTCCTGGTCACTTGTTACAGCTCATTAAAAACAATATCGTGAGGTCCACCCTCGCAACAGTTCCTACGGAGTCGAACTGATTCAACATCGTACACTGACTGCATTGCGAAATGTCCACTCAGAGCCATGCCCACAGGGCTGGCGGGAGCAGTGCTGATGCAGATGATGCCGTTCAAACGCTGGGCGATGTTATGAGAGCAGGACCGACCGGTTTCCCGGACGTCGTTGTCATCGATCAGACACACGAAGAAAACAAACGGAAAGATGATCCTAGCCCAAACGAAGATTTGTGGCTCAGTTCAGCAGACGGTCGATACAGCTCGACCATCGTCCCCTTGCGAGTTGGACGAGCGCCGAATCAAGAGATCTTCCATGTACACAGAAACATCTTGCTAGCGACGGAATATTTTCGCAAAGCTCTTTGCGGAGACTTCAGAGAGGCTGAGGCGCAATCCATGGACTTTCCAGAGGAGGATCCGGCCATTTTCCACTTTCTCGTCGCCTTCCTCTACCAAAGAAGCTTTGTTCCTATCAAGCCAGCAGCATCAGCACTGGCTGTCGAGGCATCAGAACGAGGGAAAGCACAAGAATCTGGCTACCGAAGCGAGTCGGAGTCGGAGGTGTCATCGTCGGAGGCCAGTGACGCCAGTGCCAGAAGTCGAATCCGGGCGCAGCGGCGGCAACGGCGGCGGGAGCGGCAACGGGACCGCATGAACCGGAAACAGCCAGGCACACACCGCCCAGATTGCAGATGTCCGCGCTGCACCACAACCATCGGCCCGCCATGCTGGAACTGTGGCGTTGGTCGCGCAAGGCCGATTCCGGGCCACCTTCCGCCGCACATCATCAACCCTATGCCACCAGTGCGGCCCCTAGGTTTACAGCCACACAGCCGGCGCCGCAGCCGACAGCAAGTCATCACACCGCCAGAGTCAACACCCTCGCTCGGTTTACCAGTCTCTACCAACGACGAGTATGCCGATGGCGACCGTATACGAGGCCAAGACATGCGGACTTTTCTGCTCACATACGAGCTAAGTCTAGAGGTATACATTGTCGCCAATAAATTCCTCATGGACGACTTCAAGACTGCGATTCAGCGTCACTGCATCGACATGCTCGAATCCGCCGGGCCCGATGCAGCGCAGTCGATTGTGTTGCAACTTTGTTCAAAGCTCTACGCCGGCGTCCCTGAATCTGACCCATTGTTGAGGATGATCTTTGCGCGCGTTGGCTTCTTACAGCCTCTGCTCTGGCAACGAGCGCCGCAGTTTACGTCGGAATTTCTGATTGGGCATCCAGAAGTTGCGGCTCTTATGCTCCGCGAGACAGCCATTCGAAGAGAGGAGGATCTAGGCAGTAGGGCGTTACCGTCCATGGAACGGGCGACGCACCCTCACGTCATGCCTATGTGGCCGGTTGCGCCGCCTATGCATCCTCATATGCGGCCTCCGCCGCCTCCACCGCCGCATCATTGGCATCCAGGACCGTTTGGTGTTTGAGTGGTTAGGAAAAGGCACGGCTTTCTCTCGAGTGATTCTGCCCTAGAGGGATTGTCTGCCATGGCTGTGTTATTCAACAAAGAGAATGCGGACACGGCGGCACATGGAGGCAAGAAATCGCTGTCGACATGTCTAAGTATTAGGCGGTTGTATCTGTATGTTGTTGGGAAAAAGGAGGAAAGCGAAGATGTTGCTAGCTACATGGGTGGTCAAGTGGTCAAGGCGAAAGAAACTCTGTTCGATGGAGCCACATGTTCGGGAGCCATTGTCCCACGGCGACGGGTCCCTCATTGTGGGAAGAGATATTACCCCGTCATTTGGATGGAAAGCGAGAGGAGAGAGACTACTGAAATAAAACAAAGGCACATTCCGTTTATCCGATCGAACCAAAATCCATGCAGGTCTTTGGCCCATGTGACCTTTTTTTTTTCCTGCCAGCAGCCCAGTTCGGCGCGCTGCGATGCGTCGCGTCGGAGCCGAGGCGGCCAGGTAAAGCGGTCGGTCAATTTTGGGTGACGGGAATGAATAGGTAGTGGAAGGTGAGTACTCCGTAAGGTAGGGTTTATTGCATCATGATACTAGAACAGACTCTAGCCGTCGCATCCACGCGGCCCCGTGAGTGTCAAATAAGTCGGCAGAAGCGGAGAGGTAAGAGAGTCATTGATGCCAGTTTGCTCTATCACGAGTAGAAAGAGAAGAAAAGAGTAAATGGTTGCGGCGGAGAAATTGCATCGTCGAATCTGCCATCCATACGAATACTTTCGGGGCATGATTGAGCAGAAATACCGAGCTGTGCGAGCCCGGCCACCCCGAACGAACCCCAACCCCAACAACCCCCGTCACCCCCAGCTTTGCTAATTCTGGGGGAGTCGGGGACACTGGTTCACAAGCTGTTCAGCGCTGCTCGAAGCTCCGCAGCTCCGGGTGAGCCAGTGAAAAGACAACTTTATCAAGAGGGGAAACCTTGTCCGCGCAAGCTGGGCGGGCGAGATCCCCACCATCGGCGCTAGCTACCCCACACGACGGACCTGGAACCAGGCACAAGCAGAGCAACAATGACAGCTTCTACATTCTTCCTGCTTCTTGGGGGTTGTTCGCGATGCTTTCGTCCGGAACAGGCCCCGAATTGGTCCTCTGTTCCCGGGCGGCGGATGTATGGTGGAAAACGTGAGCTAGTGTAGATTGGGACAGGCAGGCTTGAATTAGATTATTACCTACATCCATTGGTTGACCCCCTCCTCCTCCTCCTCCTCCTTAGGCTCCCCTGGGGGCGGCCATCGGTTGCAACGGGGGGCGAACTGACTCTACATGGGTATAATAATCGTCCTCCAGCCACCAGCGTCAGTAAAAGCCCATTCAGTTCGTTTCCGGCGTTCCTGCTGAAGCCTCGTAAGAGTCGAGTCGAGTCCGCCGCCGCTCATCGAAGTTACCCTCCTCCCTCTTTGAACACCGCCACCCCACGCCGAAAGGAGGGATCTTCCACCCTCTCCGACGATCGTGTACCGCAATGGCGCCCATCTCAGGAACCGTAGCGACGGTGATCACGGCGTTGACGGCGGCCTTTAGGACCTCCGGCCCCGCTCTGCAGGCGCAGGCGGAGCAGAATCACCTCCTGGCCGAGCTCGACTACGGCAACTTCCAGGGCGCCTACTCGGACCAGTATAACATCTCGTACTGGCAGAAGATTCCCTACGCGGCGCCTCCCGTGGGTGAGAACCGGTTCCGGGGCCCGCAGCCCCCCGCGGCGGTGGAGGGTGTCGTGTATGACTCTAGCCAGCCGTTTGATATGTGCCCTCAACGGACGGTATGTTCTTGCTCTCTTAACTGCCAGTGGTTTCGCGGCTGTTGAGTGAGGTTTGAGATGATGAAGAAGGAGAAATTGGGCTGACTGGATCCTGGGCTCATTTATAGGTCAACGGCTCCGAAGATTGTCTGTACCTCGGCCTCTACTCCCGCCCCTGGACGCAAGACCAGCCCCTGAAGCCCGTTGTCGTCACCTTTTACGGCGGCGGCTTCATCCAGGGCTCAGCCTACTTCAGCATCCCGCCCTCGGCCTACCCGATCCTCAACGTCTCAAGCTCGTCCGACATGATGTTCATCTACCCAAACTACCGCACAAACGCCTTTGGCCTCCTCCCCGGGAAGCAGATCGCCGCGGACCCAAAGTCGGATCTGAACCCGGGCCTGCTGGACCAGGAGGCTGTGCTCAAGTGGACAAAAAAGTACGTTAAGCAGTTCGGCGGTGACCCGGACGACGTGACCATCTGGGGCCAGTCTGCGGGCGGCGGCAGCGTGCTGGCGCAGGCCATCGGCCGCGGGGGGCAGCAGAAGCTCTTCCGCAAGGCTATGGCCAGCAGCCCGTTCTGGCCAAAGACGTACGCCTACGACAGCCCAGAGGCGCAGGCCCTCTACGACGAGCTCGCCTCCCGCACGGGGTGCGCCGGCGCCGAGGATAGCCTGGCCTGCCTGAAGATGGCGGACGTGCAGACGATCCGGGACGCCAGCCTCGCCATCTCGAGCTCGCATGTCACGAACACTTCGTCCTTCACGTGGTCGCCTGTCATCGACGGTGAGTTCCTCCGGGAGCCGCTCTCTGAGGCCGCCGCCACGGGGCGGGTGAACATGGACCTGGCGTTCGCGATGCACAACACGCACGAGGGCGAGAATTTCCTGCCCGGCGGGCTCCAGAGCGCGACGGACGTCGGGTCTCCGCCGTTCAACTCGAGCGAGGCCTCGTTTGACAAGTGGCTGAGGGGGTTCCTCCCTGGCTTTGGTGACTGCGAGATTGAGGGCGTCAAGAGGCTGTATCCTGCGGCTGGCACGACGGAGACGATTTCGTATAACACGACGTATGTGCGGGCCGGACTCATTTACCGGGACGTCGTTCTGTCGTGTCCAGCGTTTTGGTTTTCGGGCGCAGCGCCGAAGGGGGGTTGGTTGGGCGAATACTCACTCAACCCGTCCAAACATGCTAGTGATACCGTCTGGGTGAGTTTTGGTGTCTCTTCATGGAAGAATCTAGTCGGTGGGTTGCTAACAGATATGCAGTGGAATCAGGTCAATGCCGTGCAAAAGACGGACCCGGCACGCTACCAAGGCTATGCCGGTGAGTACACAAGACTGCATGTTGCTTACCGTAAAATATCATCACTAACCACAACTACTCCAGGAGCGTTTGCGTCTTTCTTCCAAACGGGTGACCCGAATGCGCTCAAATTGTCGGCATCAACGGAAGCTGGTGTACCGCCCCTCAAGGACAGCAAGGAATGGGTCGTCAACCCCGAGGGTTTCGCGACTACTGACCTAGGGCAACTAGAGAAGAGATGTGGATTCTGGAAAAAGACGGCTGCGAAGATACCCATTTGAGGCGATTCTAGATATGTACGTACATGCGTGAAGTAATGAATAGAGGTACAAACTAGTCGATTGGGTTGTCACGAAGCTTGAAAAGCTCCCTCATCACCTCTTCCGTCTTGGCGCGCAGCGCGGAGTGGTATAGCTGGTTCGTCTCGTACACCTTGGCCTTGACGAGCGCGGCCGTGTCCTTGGCGAACTCGTAGTCGACGTACATGTCGTCGATGTAGCCAGCGGCGTACACAGGCACGGTGTTCTCGCGCAGCTTCTCTTGGTCATACAACTCCGGCCACTGGTCAAACTTAGCCAGGATCTCGGCGGCTTCGCGCAGTTCAATCAGCTCCGGGTATGTCTCAAAGTGTAGAGGGAAGATCATCTCGCCCGAGAAGTAGAGGGGCGGGGCCGTGAACTCGGAGATGGCGGGTTCCTTCGCCAACCAGGAGAACTTCTCCAAGGACTTGCCGACTCTGTAGGCCGCCCAGTTGGAGACAGAACCCGGTCCATTAGTGTAGATGGCTTCGTGCAAAATAGCATAGATGATGTTGCTGTCAAAGGACGTTGCCGTCTCAACGTCCGTCAGGGACGCGCGCGTGAAGAAGCCAAACTGGTCCAAGTCCGTCTTTAGCTTGAGAATGGTCGAATGCACCGAGTCGAGTCCCCCATGAGCACCAAAGGCAAGGCCAAGAGTGAGCAGTCTTGGGATGGTGAGATATCCGCCGCCAGGGAGGTTGACCTGCTTCTTTTCCTGTATGAAACGAGCCACCTGGTGGACGGCTTCGATGTCTTCGGGATACTTTTGGTAGTAGGCTTGGTTTCTCTCCTGGACCTTCTTGAAGGTTGCCTCGTACACCTGCTCAGGCGACTTGCCGACAGGTGCGAGACCGCCAGTGAGGAAGACTTCCCGAAGACCTTGAGGGAACCTCGAAAGGTAGGTGAGAGACACGAAACCGCCAAACGATTGACCGAAGAGGGACCACTTTTTCTTTTCTTCCGGGAAGTCCTCAGTGAGATAGGCTCTTACGGCTTCGAGGTCATTGACGATGTTGTCTTGGCGAAGTAGTTTGAGGTGATCGGCTTGCTTCTGAGCATTGCCCTCGAGGGCTAAGGTAGCAGCGGAGACGGGAGAGCTAAGTCCAACGCCTCGATAGTCCAAGAACAGGACCTGGTACCCTCGATCCAAGGCAGTGCGAGTGATGGGACTGTCCTGAGGCTCTGGGTTACCAAACCCTGGCCCGCCTTGCAGAAACACCATCCATGGTTTCTGCTCTGCCTGCTTTTTCTCACTTTCTGTGGGAGGGACTATGGGCCTCTCATGCTTGGTGACACTTCTGCCAAACAATTGAAGAACGCCCGAAGCTTGATTGCTGTAGTCCTTTGGAACCTCGAAGAAGAGTTCAGACACGAGGAATTGACCTGTCGTTTGATCAGTGCTGATCTTCAAACGAGCCTGCATGGAGAATTACCTGGAATGACATGCGACCTCTTGCTGAGAAGTTTCGCCGCACTAATTACTTTGGAAGCCATGTTGAGCCGGTGGTGGTAAAGTCAGGGCTTGGTGACGGTACAGGAAAGCAGGAAAACCGCAGAGCAGACTGCTTAAACAAGAACCCTAAGCTTGATGCTGGCAACTACTCAAGCATGAGGACCTTGAGAACCCCGCCTAGGTAGATGGCGGTGCAAGATAAAGTGCCGTGAGATGTCGCACCTTCTCAGTTGGGCAACCGGGGCAGTCACAGTGTGACACTGTGAGCATCGCATGTTAGGAATAGCCCCTTCAGGAAAAGGATTCGATCACTGAACTCCTCAGGTTTTCAACTTTCAAGAATTTGAATTCATTCTCAATTTGGAAACGATCATGTGCTAAGTTTGATATTGATGAAGTACTTTGTGACTTCTGTTAGAAGTCACGGGGATGTGCAACTGATTATGTATTCTCGAAGTTGGCTAGAAAGAAGAATGTTAACTGCTCAACAGAGCATCAGATGCTGGCGTTCCCAGCAATTACGAGCATAGGGACGGATATGGACTGGTAATGCGTGAGGTCTGAGAGAGACCAGAAGACCTGTATATTATCGCACGATGCAATTGCACAAAACTGAAATTACGATGAAATATGCGCGTAAAAAGAAGCAAGCATGCTGGCGATATTGCGGGCCATCCGTTGCCAGGCAGGAATCTCTTTCACCTTCCTTGCCTCACTTTCACTTTCTTCGAGGTAACGATGTTCTAGATTCCTTACATAAGCTCAGCTCCGATTCCGGGTGACAATCCACCAATGACATCAACCCCCGCGTACGATCCGAAGGTGCTCGGCTCGGCAAAACCTGGGTCGGACTCCACGCGCGCCGTCTCTCTAGCGAACCTACCAAGTCCCAACTTGGGGAAGCGCCTGGTGCACGATGGACTGCCAAAGGAAAGTCTCCCCATCCACCCAAACATCGAATACCTTCTCTTCCCGCCACTTCATGCCCCATTCCACATGTTCCGAGCGCGAAGCCACCAACAGTGGAATGAATTACATACATCTAACTACGACGCTTGTTGAATCCTTCAACGCTCTTGCCGATGAGGTCCAGATCCTGACCGACAGGAAGACGATCCTGGAGCACAAGCTCAGATTCGCCCACGAGCAGGTGAGTTGAAACGAAACGCGCAGGGGTTTGTCAGCAGAGCCACTGCTTTGCGACACTCTCCTCACCACCTCCAACATGATGAACAACCTTAGCTCTAGATCAAGAGCTCCTTCCACAAGGGGCGGAGACTGATTTCTTTTACCATTTTCTGACTTGCAATTTTGCAACTCCCCCATCACTTTCGCCTCCAGGCCAGCTTCGGTGGTAACTCTTGCTAATCGGCCGACCTTCACAGTACCAGTACTTGGCCGACAAACATGCCCCTGCTGCCCCCGAAATCTCCGAAGTATTGGCAAAGTTACAGCTGCCGCCAGAACTTGCGAACCCATCGCTAGAAGACGCCAACCCCGTACCGCTACCGAAGCGCAACAAGCTGGACACCCGAAATCAGATTGCTCTCATCATCCGAGACGGCCGGCGCGTTGCCCAGCAGCTTACGTCAATCGGCGAAACGAGTAAGACGAGCGACTCTAGCAGAGAGACTTCTTCTCGTGAGGCACAGACCGGAACTTCCATGTCTACCGTGCTTGAGCAAGACTTCACGATTGAGGGGAAGAAGGGGCCTTTAGAATGTCCTTTCTCTTCTCAAAAGGCGGACAGCGCAGGCGAGGGCGATGGTGAAGCGCAAAGCGCTGAGAAGGGCTCCCAGGACCCTACTCCGCACCACTCTACGGACCCCATCTGTGCCGCCATGTTCGAGGAGTCAACATCTCAACCGGCTCCCGGCGCTGCCGATTCCCCCGCCAAATGTCCGATTCGCTACCTAGACCAACACTCCCCGGAAGAGATTGCACACTACGTCGAGACACACAAGCACGAGTTACCTCGCAGTCACGAGGTCTGTGTGAGAAGATACCAAAAGAATGAAGTGCAAATCAAGAAGCTGGACGCAAAATACGGCAATCTGGTGAACATGATTCAGGGGCTTAGTGCGCTACATCAGCCAATGTTGCCAGAGTCACAACAGGAGCAGGAAGAAATCGAACGGGCCTCGAATGAGAGGGTTCACAACTGGGCAAAGGCTGTCACAGACACGACGGTAGAAGATGCCGAGCAGTCTCAGCCGGAGCCCGAAGATGCAGATGAGGCCCGACAGAGCCACTTCGACCGAACGCTCAAAGAGGTTCGAGTAGGCGAGTCTCCTAGCCGTCCATGGGGCATTTCGGTCCCAATCTACGAGCCTCATGGTATGGGCGACGAAGAGCGTCCTCTTTCGCCTCCTCCAGCACCTGTCTTTATGCCATCTGGTTCCGAAGGCGAAGAAACACCAGCGCCAAAGACTGGCAAATGCCCCTTTGATCATACGAAGATGGCAGCGATGGCAGCCGCTCGTGAAGAGGCTCAACCTGTGTCTCCTACACCAGCTCCAAAGCTCATGTCAAACGAAATAGGCGAAGATGTATCGCCGCCAAAGCCTGCAGGAAAATGCCCTTTCGATCATGCTCAACTTGCTGCTATGGGCTTCGCGTCGCCCCCGCCAAATACTGGCGATCAAACCTTTGTCCACCCCGAAGCGGATCCTCAACCTATCGAACTACCATCGACGCCTGTGAAGCCGCAGCCGTCTTACAGCGCCCCCCCTCAACAACCGACCTTCATCAACCCACCTCTCGACGCGAACAAGCAATTCACGCCGAATGGTGTGCCACAGATGGTCTTCACGGGACCAGTATTCATCGGCTATCCCATTGAGCAGGCGATCCAGTTTATGCAACACTTCCAGGGGAGGCAATAGTGGCCAGATGGCCATGACGCCTTCTAATCTTTGTTTCTCTCCATTTTCCGTTTTGCACATACGACTTTCTATTTTTGGGAAAGGGCGGCGTTTGTCTGTTTTAAGCGAAGGCGTTGGGATGTGACTTTTAATCCAGAGCTAGTTTTCCTCGTCCACCTTCGTGGATTTTCCTTATTCTAGCTACACCCCGCGGTGTATTGCACGAGCTTGATGTACAGATTGATGAGGCAGAGAGGGAGGGTATGGTATGTGGGACGCAGGAGGAAAAGCAGACAGAACTCGTCCGTATGATACCACACAAGACCAGGAATGAGACATTGATATCACGAGAAGACTCGTACCGTTGCTGCCCGATTTGTGCTTCCCCGTACGCTGCCCTGGGCAACATTTGTCCTGGAACATTTCAGCCATGTTTGATGTCTAGAAACAGTGTCTAGTGCCATATCAACTCTAAGTCTACAGTACCGTTGCTGTCCGTTTAGAAACAAAAAAACGCCTTAATCCGAATCCTTGAACCCGCCCCCCTTTCCGTTGTGCTCATCATCAAACGGATTCACGGGACCCTCGCGCCCGAATTTCTGCCCGCCGCCTTCATTTTCATCATAATCGTCATCATGATACCCGCCCTCCCCATCAGCCTCACGCGCCCACAACGAGATGTCGTCATCGTCCATGAGCGCCGCCACATCCTCTGGATCCACGAGGCCGGCCTCAATATCCGAGTAGTCGGGTGCGTCTTGGCCGGGCACCACACCGCCCTCGGTCTCGGCCTGTTCCAAGGCCAGCTCGGCAGCGCGGGCCATGGTGCGTTGGTAAATGAGCCAGCCGACGACTAGGCCAACGAGGCCACCGAGGATCATGGAGATGTAGTTGATCGCCTTGCCGCCGGCCGTCATCTCGTCTCCCTTTTCGGCAATGAGAGCGAGGCGGCTACCGATGAAGACGTGGACGAGAAGCTTTGGACTATTGGGGATCCTCTGTTAGTTGTGCTAGAACTTGAGGAAGTGAGGCGAGGACACAATTAGGTGCCCCTGCTGTGCTTACCTGGCAAGGGCCGTTGAGACGGCAAACATCCAAGGCTTGATGGAAGGGATCGTGGAAAGGAACCCGTTGGACAAGCTATACGGCAGCGGACAGAAGCGCACCGCCGTCAACATGCCGATCCCGTCCTTCCTCAGCACCTGGCCCAGCGCGATGAACCGGTGATCCTGCCCGACGAGTTTGTGCACGTAACCGCTAAAGATGCCCCTGCTCGTGTAGAAAGCCGTCAAGCTGCCCGCAACCGTGGCCGTCGCGACGATTGGGTACCCCAGCGGAAACCCGTAGACGAAGCCCGAGACCGAGATGGCGGTGCTGTAGCCAATCATGGGCGGGAAGGCCGTCATGAAGGTGAAGGCCCAGATGATGAGCCAGCCGAACGGCAGCGCGCGCCATTTCTGGGACACGGGCGCCAGCCACTTGAAGATTGCGTGCGAGTAGATGAGGAACAGAAGACCAAGGACGTTGACGACGAGGAGGAACGCGGCGACGGCCACGCGCTGGACGGGGCTGAGGCCGAGGTACATGCTCCAGAGGCGGTTGCCGGCCTTGACGGCGGAGCGCACCGCGCGGTTCACGCCCGATAGCGCCGTGGTGCGCCTGGAGCCGGATTGCCCCCCGCGGCCGAAGCGTGCCGCGGACATGCGGCGGGTGGTTGTCGTTCTCGAGGAGGACGAGTTACCGCCGATGTTGCGGATCCATGGCGGGCGGACGTCGGCGTGGGCTTCGGAGGGGGAGGACGGGGGATTCGGCGAGAGGGAGAGCGCCCTCGCTGCTGATTCGTAGTCGGCCGGCATCGTGGGTAGTCGATCGGGGATCGGGGGAGGCAAAGGCAGTTGAAAGCGTGGTGGCTTTTTGGGGCCCCGGAGGCTCCGGATACAGGAAGCTATTCGCGGGGCTTCGACCAGTCGATTGCACGCTCGTTTACCGTGATTTCGTCTCTTTTGCAGTTAGAAATATAACTGGTTCACTCAAAATTTTCCGAGGCCATTTCGAAACAATGGACTAATCTTTGATGGATGTATAGAAACGGAACAGAGAATAGTGATGAGGGAGGAGAATGCGTCGCAATGTTGAAGGAGCTGACCTCACACACCCACCGCGATGAGGTAAGCTGCCTAACCAAAGTGCCCCAAGCCACACCTAGAGACATACGCAAGGTCCGCGGTTAACTTCCATGGATCGCCGGGCCCGTCAATGCGGGCGGGCTGCTACCTGGCCAAAAATAACCGGGGTTCTCCAGGATCATTGGAAATGCCCTAGTACGACGTGCCTTATTTTAGTTGCCCCAGGTTGTACGGATACACGTATAGAAGGGCCGTAGTACCTAGGAAACCCAAATACGTGAACTCACGCAGAAAAGAAACTCAGAGTTGGAACACCAAGGCTTGCTACCGTTCCTGATGACGACGTTTACAGAGCATTACCTAAAGAGCCCGTTTCATGGGAAAACGCAATGAGAATGTCTCATGTTTCCTGCGGACGGTTTCAATTGCATGGCATACAGGGGGTTCGATGCATAAGGCACTCGCACGTCCCAAAATGGCAGTCGCTATGCATCCCGTCCACGTCGGTCTACCTGCCGACTGACCGGCCAGTGACCGTCGCTCTCCAACCTCGGTGGGGTCTCCACTCGAGCTGGAAAGCTCAAAGTGCTTCTTCCCTGCATGAACTCAACCTACCGCAAGGTACGGATACCCGCCCGATCTTAACTAGACGCGGCTCTACTTCCACCGTCGTCATCAGCAATAATGCATCACTGTACGCGCTAGGGCCTTGAGACAATTTTGATAGAGGAGTTCGCTTCCTGGAGCGTCTTGTTGACATTTTCTACTTGCGCTTCTTTCTACTTTATTGTCTTTTCATCACTTCTAGGTAGCCGGTTGTCATCGCCGCCCACTAGGCCCCTTCGGAGGATCCCTAACAAGCATCCTGACTTTGCCGTCCCCAATCTCCACACCCTGACTCAAGATATCAACCTCCTCTTTACTGTCGTCTGCACTCGACGTTCCTTCACGCGCCAACGACTTGTCGTAGCTTCGAGCATCAATGCCCAAAATGCCACCCATATTGTTGCGATCTCCAGGGACGGAGAATTCGCGGTAAGCGTACCTCCACTCGTTCAAGAAGTTACGAATCGCCTTGCCGACCTTGTCCTTGCCGTTCTTACTGTGATGACCGGTACCGGTAATGGCGTAAATCGGTCGAGTCTCCTTGCCGTTCTCCATTAGAACCCGCTCAAGGTATTCCACGGCTTCCTCAGGGTGAAGCCCATGCAGGTCTACATATATCTCGGAACTGTTCGCAATGCCTCTGTTGCGTTCCTCGTAGAGCTCGCGCGCTGCTTCTCGATGTGCCTTCCGCATCAAGTCATTCTCGCTCTGGCCTCGCAGACTCAGGGCTTTGGCGGCCCTAGCATCGTTCCGGTTCCATGCTTGAGCAGCGCTGGTTTAGTGGTTAGTCTGGCGAAGTATCTTTAAGAAACTGCTGCTCTTACCTCTGGAGGAACTTATTCCTGAGACCGCCGTGCTTGATAGCTTCTTGACGAGCTTTGAGGTAGGCCTTGTTGGCTCTTTCGCCGGTTTCTAACCACGGAATGTGTTTCGGATTCTGGATCGCCTGTGCTGCCGCGCTGTTTTCCCCGTTCCGGATATTGGTTGAGCTCCCATTTCGTCCAATCTTCTTGATATCTTGGCGGAGCAAAGCCGGCCCTGGAGACGGCGACATCTTGACGATTTCAGCAAGGGAGTTTGGTGCGTAATTTTCCTTATGATTGTGGCCGTGTCCACCCCTTTTCCCGTGGTGTTTCTTGCCTTGCTTCGCTGCAGCAGAGCCTAGAGTAGGGAATGCGTCTGCATCGTCCAGCGACGGAGCCACTAGTTCCCTCGCTTGCTGGTGTCGGCTTCCTGGGCGAGATCTAGACCGAGGGCTGTCGCTCGCGTAGAACGGCTTCAGGCCGGGTGGGGGCGTAAGCCCGATTGTAACACCTGGGCTTCCGCTATAACTGCCAATGTGATCAGGCGTGCCGGGTGGAAGTGCTGGGAACAAGTTCAGATCGGAAAAGTTGGCCTGCTTTGTTGGCGGAGTACTGGCCCCGTCCAGCGCCAGCTTGTTCATTAGATGTGCTGGGTCATGGGAGAATATGCAAGTTTCGCCAGCTAGACAATTGCCCATTACCCAGTATCTTGGTAGTCATGTTAGCTGAAATTGTACTCAAAGCTGGAGTGGGATATACTTACTTGCACAAATGATTGCTCAAGTCATGACTGAATCTGCAATCTGCCCTTAAACATTGTCCCGTGGACATGTAGAATTTGCAGATAACGCCCGACCTTTGTCCAGCTGGGGTACTGGGCCGTCCTTCTGCAGCAAGCGCCTTTCCTATCAGAGACACTTTATTGTCGTCAGGCTGCGAGCTGCTATATCCGTTCTCTTGCGCCTGACTTTCCATGATTGATGCAATCGTTGCGCTTAGGTCGTAGCCATGGAGGGCAAGAGCTGCTTCAATCTCCTCATCAGTTCGTGTCCGGCCGAGTATCGAACGCAGCATGTCATATGGAGACATGTCAGCTTGCTGTGACGACATGGAGGAAAACTCAGGCGCAGCAGCATTCAGGCCACTTGAGGTTCCGACAGATGATGTAACGCTGATAGCATCATCGGCGACAAGCCACTCCACGTTTTCCGTCTGATAGTCGCCAAAAGTTTCATGAGAAGGTGATTTGTCGTTTGCGAACTCGTACGCGTTTAAGTTCGGGCTATTGGGTATGGCGGGTGTCGCGAATGCGAGTCTCGGAGAGGGTCTCGGAGAGGAGAAGGGAGAGGCCGCAGACGATTTCGTTCTCGTGAAAGATGGAGTAAAGGACGGAACAAAGCCTGGAGGGGCCAGAGGACTGACCCCGAGTCTGGGTGAGCCAGAGAGAGGAGTGGCATTGCCGCGCCATGATGCAGGTGATGGTCGCCGCAAGATAGTCTGACGGATAGGAGGAGGGGAGGCTGCCAGTCCACCTCCGTCACGGTATCGCCATAGGACATCCAGGATCGCATTATCTAGTGAGGAGCCATTCAGAGTCGTCTGGTTTCGCAGGAGATCTTCTAGCTTGTCCGTCTTGTCTTCATCCTCGAGGGTGACATCCTGGAGAATCGGTAGGCAGATCTCGTAATGCTCGTCGGAAACCATGTTTGCGCGGTTGGAGGCCAAGACGCGGGCCTGGGTATAGCAGATAGAGGCAGCAAAGGTGCGTCAAAAGTAATGTATTGCGTGCGTATGTAACGGTTAGAGCCGAGACCGTAACGGCGCGTCTATAGATGGTATTCGGTCTTGGGTTGAAGCGGAGCAACTACTACGTAAGGCTGGCGGCGGTAATGCAAAGGCAGCGGTTGCAGCGGCGTCAGGCAGGGTTTAGGTAGGAGTTGACGTCGGATGTCAGCCTTCGCGGATGGCCGTGGGGGGTTGTGTTTGAGGGTGGACGAGTTCTGTCCGCCAGCGCAAAGTCAGAACTACTAGAAGCAGAATGCGCTGAAGTCTTGTGTGTACTTGAAAGAGTAATCGAAGAAAAGCGAGCGAGTTGGCGATGGGAGCGAAGTTGGTGGGCGGGATTCGATGGTTCCGTCACATGGTTTCGGAGCCAGGGGCAGAGGGGGGATCGTCTCGAGCTTGCTGTTGAATGAAGCGGTCGGTATTACGGGCATAAAGTACGCGAAAGAAAAGAGACTTCCCCTTTTGGGTGGGCTTGGGTTGCTCGCAAACTGAGCCTTTGTTGCCAGCCGTTGAAAGGCTAAGGTAGAAGCGAGACACGACGGGAGGAAAATGGGAGATTTGGAGATGGTGGTTTGGATGGCGGAAATGCAGCCAGGTGCACGTCGTCGTCCCCCTTCAGCTGAGGACGGGGCCACTTGAGGGCGGCAGAGGTAAGGTGAGTTGCGGTCGGGTACTGGTGCGTGCGTGCGTGCTTCCTGCGCTGCTGCTGCACCGCTCCTGTGGATGCAAGCAAACAGGTTGAGGCAAGGTGAGAGAGAGTCCAGGAAGGTAGGTAGGTACCTTAGGAAGGGATGATGCACCACTCACCAGCTGGCCAACAGCTCTTTGGGGGTCGGGGAACTGGGACCCGGTGTCAGTGGACTCACGCTTAGCGGGCACGTACCGGAAAGGAGCCAATCTCGAGGCACACTAGGATATCCGGGACGTACCCCCCAAGAAGCACACCTCCCCATTGCCCACCCAGTGATCCACTGATGGGAGTTCTCAGGGACGACCACAACGGGGTGGGGAAACTGATGATGTACGTACCTTAGTACCTCGCCTTACCTCAAGTTCGGTAGACACACCCTCTCATCCTGGGCAGTGGCATTTTCATCTAAACTGTTCGAATTCAAGAATGCCCAGGGTTCTGACTTTAGTGACAGCTTGAAGCGGTTTATGACGTGAGACCCGATATCTGAAGTATGAACATATCCTTACCTGCACTCTGGAAAGAAACCCAATATCTCGGTATGCTATATGTCGTGGGGTTTTCTTGCTTTTGAGGAATTACTCGAATACGTTTAGACTGGAAAGGAAACATGGTCATGCTGTCTCTCTAATATTAGATGCCAAGCGGCGAGGCACTTGGTAGCGTAACAAGATTGAAAGACAGATTCTCATCTATTCGGTGCTTTCATTGAAGCCGATCCTCTGTTCAGCTCTGCCCTTGCCGGGCACAATACGCCCTTTGTACTACTCTGACCCAAGTCGCTCCGTCTTAGTGAGTAAGCTGACTTTGATGATACCCGAGCAGGGTTCAACGAAGGAGCCTTTTTTGTGCTCTGTTCCCAAATCCCATTCGGCTGAGGGCTACCTACGAGGTGTGTCGGACAAAGCTGCAGCCAGGAGATGGAGATACAAAGGTGGCTCTGCTTCGTCCACAATAAATGAGCCATGTCTTTGAAAACAATGAGTGATGTACTCGAAAGACAAACTCGACGAAGGGTCTCTGCCTCCCGGTATCGGAAAGTTACTTGCTCTAGTACGCCGTATCGCCATGTACAATAGGCAGCTTAAGGGATTTCATCATCATCCAGGTCATCCCCGAATCCGAAGCTGAAGCCACCTCCGTTGGCCTCTGTCTGGCTTCCGCCTACTGCTTCCTCCCACTTCCTCTTTTTCTGGATGCTCTTCTTCTCCAAAATCCGAAGGGCCTGTTCTAATAAATCTGGCTGTTCCTGGCGCAGTCGCTCAATGAACAAAGCGTATGGATCAGCTACCTCTTGCTTGAAGCCAGAAACCTGGTCTGGCTTGTCCCTTAAGAATGATATGACTTCGGAGAGCTGGTTCTTCGGCACGAAGTTTTGGGTCAAGGCGATGCCGCTTTCCAAATTGACGACTAGATGCCACCATCCACTAGGCACGTGTAGAATTTCCCCCTCTTGACAGATACCCTCGACGCAGTCGGGTGACCGACGCGCTTCAGCATGAAACTCGAGAAGCCATTCTGCGATGCTCAAGGGGCTGGTAACCTCGCTGCTGTCCTCCGAGACAATCACTCCGGGGACCATAGCCGTGGGTGGAAACATGATCCAATATTTCGCACCTTGGATCACCGCATTCCATGCACTTGTACCGTTGGGGTCCTTATGGAAGGTTGATCCGCTCCGTTCAGGCCCGATGATGAGCCAGCGATGGGCAGGCCGTTCCTTTCCCAGAAGCTCGAATAAATCCGGACCAAAGCACTCCGGCTTCCAGTAAGCTGCCCCCTCCTCTTGGCCAATCGTGATCTTCATCTTTTCGGCAAATTTCTTGTCGAATAGATAGAGAGGGCTCTCATCATTGTTGTTGTTCATGTACTCGTTATATGTTGAAAAGGGCCAGTCAACAGCCTCTGCGCGGAACTCTACATCGTGGTAGCGTTTCGATATGGTATCGATAGTCCATCCGTGGCAAACGGGCCACTTTTGGATGTAGTTGGTGAGAACGAAAGGGGTATCGGTCCAATTTTCAGAAAACTCCTCGTAGGTCAGGGTTTCCATGCGCTGAATCGTGTTGCGAGTTGGTATCCTTGAGGTGAACTGCTTCAAATCTACATGGCTGCAGACAAAAGGCCTGTGTAGAACGTCAGAGAAGACATTGCTGCAATCAATGACTGCTTGTTGCGCAGGCGAGAGTTTCAACTGGGTAGCCCTCCAAGATCCTTGCCATTTGCCCTCAAATCTTCCTGAGCTGTGAGATCTAAGGTTGTGTTAGTAAAGTCAATGAATGACACGTCAAGATGCGTGATCACGGTATCGTTCTCTGATCCTTCTAGAATAAGAGTCACCAGGAATGCCCAGTCGAGTAAAGCTCTTATTTTGATCGAGTAAAACCACCGGGGTGCGGATGACTCTGTAAGTCGCAGCGCTTGCCAATGGACACCAATAACACCCGATCTCATGATTTCCCTTTACTCAACAAAGTGGCTGACTTACTGAAGGAATAGCGTCTTCCACAAATCATCCGACCGGCAGAATGCGTAGAGGAACCTGGAAGTGTTGCCTAGATTTCGAAGACGATCCTCGTCGAGATACTCCAAAAGGAGCATAAGAGCCTCATCGGGTAAAATTTTCAGATATCCGATGTGTTTCCGAGCGTTCGGACGGTCCGAGAGATACTGGTTGCCCAGCGGTTTCACTCCCAAAGGATGAGTTGGAATTGACTCAGTCGACGTGACTGCATTTTCAAGGGCCTTTGAGTCATAGTCGTCGAGGCTGGTGTTGTCAGCATGGCTGTTGGTCCGGCCATTGGATACAGTGCCATGGTGTGGCACAGATGAGGCATCGTTCGCCATGTAAGGTGGTAGGTAGGCGAGTTACTAGGATCCTTGGATCATTGGAAGGACATTGACATGTGTATGTGCTGCTTTTGGCTAAAGGGAGAAAAAAAAAACAGTGGCGGGGATGACGTTGGAGAAACCAGACATGCAAAAAGGGTGAAGAATCTACCTGACAGTCTAAAGTCAAAGAAGAAGGGTGTGAAAATGAGACGAGAAAAAAGCTGTACAAGGAATCATGTCACTGGGTGTAGCGGCATCGCAGGTGCAGGTGGTACGAGCCGGGTGTTGGGTGGCAGCAGTGCGTGGCGGACACATGCTTCGATAAACATGTTCTGTGACTCAATTAATGCATGAAGATTGTCTAGATGAAATTCTGGCAGGCATTCCGCCACGATGCACCCTCGAGGGGGGACGGGATGAGCGATAGAGCAAAGAAAACTTAGCAGGCAATTGCGGCTGCTGTGCCTTCTGTCGTTCCTGCTATCTCCGGCCTTGCCAGCGCTGTGTCCCGCTGTCAGCAGTCTCCCATAGCTGCACTGCTAGTGGTCGCTCATTCACTGAGGAAGGCACGGCGGGTGTGCCCTAATCACCCATCCTGCCTGTTCCGTTTAGCGCCACCTCGCTTACCGCATAAATCGAGGGGCCGCCCGCCGCCAGGAAATTTTTTACGTGGTCAAGAATTCCTGCAGCTGCTGATAAAAACTTCGTCTCCCACCCCGAACAATCAACGTGCACCATCACCCCACGAACAACCAAACCAAACGCACCCTTTTTTCCTAGATTCAGTTCTACTCTTGCGTTTCGCCAAGAGTATCGGATCTAGTTGAGACTTTAATTCTTAGACTTCGATTCGTCGACATATTTCGCAAAACTCTCCAACGAGACGTTTGCGATTTTCCAACCCCTCGCCAAACCCCACCTTCGCGACGATATTTCTAGATCTCAAGCTGTGCTTGTGATCTAGATTTTTTCCACAACACAACCGCAATCATGGCTGACAAGGGTCTTGAGGATGTGCCTGAGGGTAAGTATTGCGACAACACATGAGAGATCGTGGGCGCGGCAGTGGAAGCCTTCGTATTTCGACACTGAGGACGTCTACGAGTCGCCGACCGACCGCCTCCCCCTCCCTCTTCCTCAGCGCCTAGCGCATAATTTTTTCAAGACGACAAGTCGCTAACACATATTTCCTGTCAGGCCAGATCGAGTCGAACTACGATGAGACCGTCGACTCCTTCGATGACATGAACCTGAAGTCGGAGCTCCTTCGTGGTATGTTTTCCCGCGCTCAAAATTTTCGGGCGGAAATGCCCTCACTGTGGACCATGTTGCTGACTTTGCCTCGCCAGGTGTCTACGCCTACGGTTTCGAGCGTCCCTCTGCCATCCAGCAGCGTGCCATCATGCCCGTCATCAAGGGTATGTTGAATATCTAATTTGTTTTGCGAACACCATTGCTCACGCTTTGCCCAGGCCACGATGTCATTGCTCAGGCTCAGTCCGGTACTGGCAAGACCGCCACCTTCTCCATCTCTGTCCTCCAGAAGATCGACACCAACGTCAAGGCTTGCCAGGCCCTCATCCTTGCTCCCACCCGTGAGCTTGCCCAGCAGATCCAGAAGGTCGTCGTCGCCATCGGCGACTTCATGAACATTGAGTGCCACGCCTGCATCGGTGGTACCAGCGTCCGTGACGACATGAAGGCTCTCCAGGACGGCCCCCAGGTCGTTGTTGGTACCCCTGGCCGTGTCCACGACATGATCCAGCGCCGCTTCCTCAAGACCGACTCCATGAAGATGTTCGTCCTTGACGAGGCCGACGAGATGCTTTCTGTAAGTTTTGGAAGAAGGCGATTTTGCTCGATTACATACTAACATAACATTTCAGCGCGGTTTCACCGAGCAGATCTACGACATCTTCCAGCTCCTCCCCCAGAGCACCCAGGTCGTCCTTCTGTCCGCTACCATGCCCCAGGACGTCCTTGAGGTTACCACCAAGTTCATGCGCGACCCCGTCCGCATTCTCGTCAAGAAGGACGAGCTTACCCTTGAGGGTATCAAGCAGTTCTACATTGCCGTTGAGAAGGAGGAGTGGAAGCTCGACACCCTCTCCGACTTGTACGAGACCGTCACCATTACCCAGGCCGTCATCTTCTGCAACACCCGCAGAAAGGTCGACTGGCTCACCGACAAGCT